GGTCTACAATATCACCAAAGAGAGCCAACGCACTTTAAGCACAAGCTTGTTAGTGAATCACAAATCAATATTGTCTGTGTGGACAGCACATGTCACATGTGCACGTGTAAAACTGCGATGTTCAGCGATGCGGTTGAAAAAGTTTGGCGCACCAGGGCAACGGTGGCAAAAAGGTAGTCCAGAGACTGCGTGGTCATTAATGCTACGGCTGGTTTTGTTGTTTTAATGCAGATAAGTTAAACAAATCCAATGACTCCTCATCCCTCACAGTCGTCGTGGTTCTTCTTTATGAAAGGTTGTTTACATTTACCTTTCTGATCTGAAGAGTCTTTGGACGACTCTGGTAGCAAGAATCCACATTTTAGATGTTTTTGGTGTTTCACGAGTCCTGTAATAAAAAGTCTTAACCTCACTCGTGGCCTCGGATCCTTTAGCCCACAGTGACACCACTGAGATTCCCTCCTGACCCAGTATGAACCTTCCAGATCCCTCAGGTCATCTGGATCCGGTCTTTTATCAGTTCCCAGAGTCAGAACCAGACACGGAGAAGCTGCATTCAGCTTTTATGCTCCTTATATCTGGAACAAACTCCCAGAAAGCCTCAGATCAGCTGAAACACTCAGTTTATTTAAATCCAGGTTGAAGACTCACCTGTTCTCAGCTGCATTTGAATAAAACACCAAATCCACACTTAGGCTTAAATTTCAAAACTTGCATTTTAACTACTGATTTTATCTGTTTTGATTTTATCTGTTTTGATTTTATCTACTGTTTTGTTTGTTTGTTTGTTTGCTTGTTTTAATCAATTTTAAATCCTGCTTTTTATTTGTTTTTGTTTCTAATGTCTCTGTAAAGCACTTTGAATCACCTTGTTGTTGAATTGTGCTGTACAGATAAACTTGCCTAATACTGACCAAAGGACACTGAAACGCTGCTTACATGGTGACAACACTGACTCAGAGTTAGCAACACATTTTTCTGGCACAGCCTCCGAGCTGCACGGAGAAGACGAGGAGCTGATGTTGTGACGCTGCAGTGACACTTACAGGGTTAGGGAGCAGCTCTTTAGTCTTCTGGCTCATTGCAAGACTGTTTGTGTTTAAATTAATGTTCATTGGTCAGCTGGTTTATTTGTACTGCAAGTGTCGCTGGAGTGTCCACAACAACATTAACTCGTCATGCTGCTGTGCGTAGAGGGAACATTTAGCCTTTAGGTTTTCACATTTCCATGGCTGATATTTGTTGCCAGGGGCCGTAAATGCCTCTGAAGGCTGCACGTTGTACCTCTGAGAGGGAAAACAAAAGCCAGATCTTCATGGGTGTTGGTGGATTATATATCCATTGTCACAGAGGCTTTACTGAGCAATTCTGCAGGAAACCTGAGCTGCTGCCACATCCCAGTAAATATAAATCAGCTGAATAATCAGGCTCATCTGCAGAAGCTGACGTGGTCGGCGAGTTCTTCTTCTAGTTAAATCCTAGAAGTTGTTTTTAATTGTTTTCACATTCAGTTTACCTGCATCGTCTCTCTCTCTCTCTGCCACACACACACACATGTATATGCCACATATTGAGCAGTGTATGGTAAACACTGAAGCAGCACAGAGTCAACCCCCCCCCGTGTAAAACGTCAGCAACATTAGCACAAAGGTGATAGACTCACTAAAGTCGTGAGCTGCTGCTGAAAGGGAGGATAATGTGTCCTTCAGTCTACTAGGAAATACCTTAACTTCATTATTGTAGGTCTGGCTTTAAAAGGAAACGGACCCCCCCGGTCCCCACTCCCCCCACACCCACTGCCCTCCTTTCTCCTTGTTGCGAGGAGTCGGGTCCTCTCAACTCACTGCTTTGTGTCTCCGTAATAATCCTTTTGTGTTGCACAGTTTGCTGTTTCAATATGTTGGCACAGCACAGTGTGGGTTTTTAAAGGGTGCATGTGTGTTTGCTGTTCGTAACCTTGGCACATGTATGGCTGCACCAATAGTCAACTGAGCCTCGGACTCGATGGGTAATTCAGCGCGTACAAAGAGCCGGGACATTAACATTTAACTTCTGTTTCCATTCACGGGCGTGAAGGTTGAATTTTGCATTGACTCTGCTGTTCAGTATCGTGTGGACTGCCCATCAACCTTTCAATCCACCGATGAATAGGATCCATTTTCCTTCGCTCTTGCTCTGAATCCGGTGAACTTTTAGAACAAAGATTTGCTTTGGTCATTTTTGTAGAGGGTCTCAAACAGAAAGGCGGCATTTCCAACCAGCTCTTTGCCTCCTTTGTAACCAGAATGGACGAGTCGGCATCACTTGACTCTGCAGACGTAAAGGCTAGTGTTTGTGTCGTTTTGAGTCTGACAATAATTTGATGTCTTCAGTTTAAATCCTGTGTTGCCGCCCGTTTACCCTGAGAATGCAGAATGATGATGTACCAACCTCTGAGTGGTTTCAGACCACATTTAAATCAGGGGTGAAAACACTCAGTTTTTAAAGTTTCTTTTCCAATCATATTGGGCTTGGAGGGGATCGTTCCCTAACCTTGGCCACAGCGGTGAGCAGCACCATCGCCTCACATCGTTTCAGACCTTGGAGTTTGTTGTCTGCTCCAGCTTCCTCCCTCCATGGGTGGTAAATAACTGCAGGTCTGTGGTTAACTGTAACCAGTCGAAAGTGTTTGGACTGGCCAGTGAGACCAGTAAAGACTAGACTACATCCAGTACCAGTGACCAAAATAAATGACACAACTTTAACATTTTCCCAGATGTGATTCAAATATAAAGGAAATGGGAATGTCTGTTTACAGCCTCTGTCTGCCTCCCCAACTCCTCCTCGTTTAGGTCTCCGCTGCCCGAGAGGAAGTGCCCGGGCGTCGAGGGTTTCCTGGCTACATGTACACAGATCTGGCCACCATCTATGAACGCGCCGGCAGAGTGGAAGGCAGAAACGGCTCCATCACCCAGATCCCCATCCTGACCATGCCCAACGATGGTGAGAGCACGCCGCCACGCCATTTCTCTAGCTGTGTGTGGTCATCACAGTCTGAGTTAATCTGTCCACGAGGCAACTGAATTAATGGAGGAGGTGTCTAAAATAGAAAGAGTAGACATTTTTGATGCCGTCAGTTACCATGGCAACATGTATGAAGAGCCTGCTCCTGTCTGAACATGACCCCCCCACAACACTGCAGGGAGGGTGATTGTGTTGGCTTTAAAAAAACTCCCTGCTCTGCAGTAACAGCCTCTCTGTGCTGGTGCAGTCACGTCTTCATCGTTCCAGTGTCAACTAATGCCTTTGTCTCTTTGAACAGACATCACTCATCCAATTCCTGATCTGACTGGATACATCACAGAGGGCCAGGTGTACGTGGACAGACAGCTGCACAACAGACAGGTACGTGTCAGTCAGGCCTTTGAACCTGTGGTCCCACACGCCTCGCTTTAAACCTGAAAAACAATATTAATGATAACTGATGATGTCTGCAGACGATTGTGCCCGAGTCCTCCGTGTCCACCTGAGGCGGCTCTGTCACATCTGTCACTGCAGAAAGCAGTCTGTGTACCAAGAGCACATGCTCACTGCACATGCTCACTGCACGCATGTAGATCTACATGCTCCCTGCACATGCTCACTGCACATGCTCACTGCACATGCTCCCTGCACATGCTCCCTGCACATGCTCCCTGCACATGCTCACTGCACATGCTCCCTGCACATGCTCCCTGCACATGCTCCCTGCACATGCTCCCTGCACATGCTCACTGCACATGCTCACTGCACATGCTCACTGCACATGCTTACTGCACATGCTTACTGCACATGCT